TTTACCGATGTTTTTTGAGCTCATGCTCACGAAACATCGCAAAAACCAATAAAAACCATAAAAACCATGATTTTCCAAACTATAGGCTTGGGGTCTCCGAGTAGTTTGAAAATTCATGGTTTTTATGGTTTTTATTGGTTTTTGCGATGTTTCCTGAGCCGGGGCTCCAAAAACATTGGTTTTGCCGATGTTTTTTGAAGGTGGCCTCTCCAAAACATTGGTTTTACCAATGTTTCTTGAAGGTGGCCTCTCCAAAACATTGGTTTTACCCAAGTTTTGGAACCCCTACCCATGTTTTATATAAATTTTCTTGATCTAGAGCCATAGTCATATATAATGTCGCACACCATGTGATCTGCACGTGCCACCTTTTGGTACCCAAGGCCAATCGATCTCACTGAGCCGCCATGTAGGTTTCGGAGACTTCATCGATCCACAAAAAAATGGAATCCTGCAGAGCCGTCATGCGCGTACTTTCTGCTTTCGCTCTGTGCAGTGAGCTGCAAGCTGCAAGACTATGACACGTAGCTTCACTCAGCTCAAATTTCTGTAGTTCGTTTCCCTGATACGATAAGAGTCACCATGGCTGAGCGTGATGGTGACACCGCAGTGAGCACCGGGCTCGATGCCACTCGAGGCATGCATCTCTCGAAGCAACTGCCCTACCCAATATGGTCTGATCAGGCCCTAGGCGGCATCTCCATCATGGATCTTCCTATGACGGAGCTGGGCAATACCAACACTCTTCTCAAACACTTCGTGGATGTGATCACGAATGTGCCGCCCCCCGACAAAAATGCCATTGAGTCCTTGATTAATGCTGGCAAATGGAATGAGCTTCCTCCGCCTTCTGTCCCAAGCAGAAGCTGGACGTCAAGCTTGTCCTTCAATTTGCCGTGCTCCCACTCACAAACGGGAATGTCTGCATAGTGAAGCATGTTCAGTCACCTGATCTCAAGCTGACAAAGTCTGTCGTGGACACCCTCTGCCACGGCACGCCCCATGTGCTGAATTGGCATGGTCGCAACGCTTACGATTTCAAGAAAGCATGGCAATGGTTCTTTGAACAGCTGGGAGGGTGGCAGTGTCGCTGCTACTCCCTTTCTGCAGTTGTTCCCCATCAAGAAAAGGCTTCCAAACAAGGCTACTATCTCTCTACCCTCTCGGAGGAGGATGTGGACAAGGGCTTTGCCTTCATCGAACAAGAAGCCGGCAACCTCGCAAGTGAGTGGAAGCGAGTGCAGTGGATCACTAAAAACCTCCACGTGAACCAGGACTCGCCTATTTTTCAGTGGCCCATCTCCACTGTCGAGAAGTCCATTCGTGCCATCCAAACCGATGGTGTCCTCGCACTTCCCGTAGAAAACTTCTTCTTCACCCTGGCAGACTTGGACTACCAGATTTTGAAGTTTGGCGTCAACCCCGTTCTCAAAACCATGACCACACATGCCGTGGGGGTAGTTGGAGGTCCGGGAAGTGGAAAAACGCCACTCGCCAGAATCATAGCCCTGTGTGCCTCCCGTTTTTGGAAACGTGAACAAGGCATCACATCTCCACCTTCGTATCGCGAGGCCTCCGAGTTCGACTTTTTCCGGGGTCACCCAGGTCGCAAAGACCGTCCTGACATTCATGATGATGGGCGGCTTGCTGAGGAACCCATCAGAAAAATGAAAGGTTTCACCGACGTTGGTTGTACTATGTTGACCAAAGAGCGGTGGGGCGCGGCTAAGTTCGTCCAAGGGCAAATGAGAGTCTTTGTCTGCAACGACTACGACTCCACTGAATGGATTGAGAAGCATCAAAACATTCGGGCCGGCACGGTTCTGCAGATGCCCCATGAGCAATTCCTCGAAGTCGTTTCCCCAGTCTTTCCTAAGGATACCAAGCTACCACACATCATGGCAGTCTTGAAGCGTGCCAATGTCTTGGTCAACGCGGGAAACCTGGTGATCTTCAGACGTGCCAGTCAGGAAGAGAACCGGGTCCCTTGTCTTGTCTTGCAAACTCCCGTGGACTACCTGAAAACAGAGGCACAGCAGAGGTACATGCTGTATCGCGAGAACAAGCTTGTCAAACCAGCTTCCTTCGAAGATGACGTCGCTTGGGAGGCCCGCTATCTGGACGCAGTCCTTCATGACAAGGTCCTTCCACTCCCCAACCCGACTATCATCAATGATGCCCAGCATCGTCTCTTTCATGATGAACCTCGCCCACCTGCTCACAGAGACATAGAAGCCGCGGCTCCTTCCTCACTGCCTGCAGTGCCCTCGGTTCCCAAAGCGGTTGCCGTCAAGAAAGAGTCTGTGACTTTCCGAAGGGCTCTTTCCAGTTTGCAGGGACATGTCATCGATCTTGACTCGCCTCCAAAGAAGGCCTTGCGTGCCGGATATGCAGACGTGAAGACTGAGATCTCGGATGCTGCAAATGAGCCTGCCAGCCCAACATCTTTGATGGCTGCACCCGTCCCCCCCTCGAAGCCTTCCTCACCGGGCTCGATGGCTGCACCCATCTCTCCCTTGAAGCCTCCCTCGCAAGGCTCGTCTATGGACATTCATGACCCAATGGATGACCTCTCACATGAAGAAGGCCTCGAAAATCTCTCCCAGGAGCTGGCCGATATCATCGACCAACAGGAGACCGACTGAAAGGAAGCCAACATCTGAGTCTGTCTTTCGGCACTTTAGCTCATGGCATTCCCCGTGTCACTCACATATCTTTTTTTATATGTGCATTCTTTATATACATAGTAACACATAGTGCACACATTTCAACATATCATGCATATATATGTATGTATATATATGGTCATATATATATATATACCGGGGGGAATTTTGATGCCATGATGCTCTGCAGCTAGTAGGAGAAGGAGAAAACGCGTCTCACACGACATGGCCCTGCGCCCTAAACCTTCGTCTGACGTGTGTGGCAAAGCAAATGAAGGTCGTTCAACGAAAAGGTCTTTTGCAAGCAATGTTCCTGTAAATCTGGCATGCTGACAGCAGCGGTTTCGAAATCTGCATGGTTATATTTTTGAAGCAGTTTTTTTGAGATCAAGCCAGATTTCCTATAGCCAGTTGCAGTTATGGGCAAGCGCTACAACCTCTTCCCTGATCCCAAGAAGGGCAAAGGACGGATGGTCCTGAAGAAGCCTGCAGGGGTCAAGTCAGCCTCGTGGTCCAAGGTGCCTTACCAGCGTCACATACTAGGAGGAGGTTTTCTTCGCAAGGATCAGACGAAGTGGCGTCGTAACATCCAACAACTCCTAAAGGCAACCGACAACCAAATCTTGGACATGCTCATGAAGGACAAGTTCCTGCCGAACTGGGAGGGTTGTGTATGTCCTTTCTGCAACAAAGGTGTGCTGGGTCCATTGACCAAGGCCTACAGGTGCAACAAGAAGAACTGCCAGAAGTACGTCTCTCCGGCTCATCTGCATCCCCTCTTCACAGTCCTTCGTGGTCCAGAAGGGCATAGCCTCCAAGCGCAAGCTACTGCACTCCTCCTTCGCCTCGCTGGAGTTCCTCTGGCCACCATCCATCTGCTCACGAACATAAACCACAAAGCAATTGAGAGGCTCAACAGCAATCTCAATTTCCTCCGGAGTGGCCACGTCACACAGGTTGAGAAAACCATCAAGTTTGGGGGCGCCCCCAAGGCTTGGAGAGACGTGGAGGTGGATGAGGCTTGCTTCGACAAGCGGACTCTGAAGCCGTGGGAGCAAACAGAGAAGGATGCCCAGCAAGGCAAGAACACTGAGTGGGAACAGTGGGGAGGTTTAGTCCAGCGAGGATGTCCCAAGAGCTTGGTCCTATTCAAACTTCGCCCTGCCATCACAGTACCCAGAGCACCGGGGCCAGGTGCTATTCGCAAGGTAGACTGGACTCCAGTGGCCCAGAAGTGGCTCAAGAACAGGCGTGTCATCTTGCACTCGGATTCGGCCCGGTCATATCGCAGCAAGGTGGATGGAATGCTGCACGATGCAGTCGTCCACAAGAAACGCAGGGTCAAAAAGGGCAACAAATGGGTGTGGGTCAAGCCTGTGTATGTGAAGATTTCCACTCACAAGCTTCCGGATGGCACCGTCATCAAGACCAAGGGGGGCACCCAAATCATCGACCGTGCCTGGCGTTTTATCAAAGACCGTCTCCGATTAAACCAGCATGGCAAGGCATCCTCCAAGCAGCTGGCAGCCCAGATCCGTAGTGCACAGTACGAGTACTGGCACCGCAACGAGGATCTGTGGGTATGCACAGGCCAGCTCTTGGATGAGTACATGCGAAGCATTGTCACCAAGCCTGAGTGCTAGAGGATCAGCAAGACTGGGGTCGCTGCTTCTAGCATACGAACACCGCCTCGCCTGAAACCAAGACCATCTGATGTTTGCTAAGCACTCCCACGTCTCTGTGGAGCTTCGCCCTCGCTGTAAAACAGATCTGCCGTCACATCTTTTGCATGCTTTGCTCACAGCATCCAATTCCCAAGTCATCTCTCTGCCCGGGGCATCTGGCTCAGACACATGCCACACACACACCAACAAAATTCGGACACCTGCCAAACACACACCAGCAAGACAAAGGAAATTGGTAGGTCCATGGGGGGGGTAGCATATATATATATATATATATATATTTTTTTTTTGGGGGGGGGGGTACTGTAGTGTACTAAGCATATCGTATTCGTAACTACTCCCTTCGAAAACCAAAGTGCTGCGTAAACAAGGCTGTAGATCTGGTGGAGTCTCGCAAAACCCGAAACCCGAAACATCCCAGTCCAAATCCTAACCAAGCAGCGAGTCCGCTGTGGTCATCATCAAAGAGCATGAAGAGCTCGACGGCACTGTCCTTGGCTCGGGGGCCTTTGGGTCTAGGTTTAGGGTTTAGGGTTTAGGGTTTGGGGTTTAGGGTTTAGGGTGTAGGGTTTAGGGTTTAGGGTTTAGGGTTTAGGGTTTAGGGTTTAGGGTTTAGGGTATCGGGTATAGGGTTTGGGGTTTGGGGTTTCTAAGGACCTTGCGGCCATGACGCGGAGCTGAGCCCAATCCTCATCTGCCGGATGAGCTCGATAAACTCGGGCAAGTTCAGCGTCCCATCCTCAGCTTCAGGGTTCAGGGTTCAGGGTTCAGGGTTCAGGGTTCAGGGTTTAGGGTTTAGGGTTTAGGGTTTAGGGTTTAGGGTTTAGGGTTGCTTCGGGCTCCCTCTGCTGAGTTGTCCAGTGTTCATAGTAGCTAAAGGTTAACCTTTGGGATTATGTGGGGATCAGAATACCCCACAAATGTTACTACCTAGTTGCAGAGTACCCTGGCCCAAATCATGCTAGGATTGTATATACCCCCCAAGAGGTTGAACTCTACTAAGGGGGGTTTAGGGTTTAGGGTTTAGGGTTTAGGGGCTGAGGGTACCCTCTCAGCTTCTGCTCCGTCAAGGGCAGATCGCCTCTGTGATCCGAAGCCAAAAAGCCAGGAGCCGAGATGGTCTCAGGACTTGGGGGGTTTAGGGTTTAGGGTTTAGGGTTTAGGGTCTAGGGTTTAGGGTTTAGGGTTTAGGGCTTCAAGTCTTGAAGGGTGTTAGGGCTCAGAGAGATAGGAGCTGCACTCCGTTGCGGAAGCAAGCGTCCCCATCCGCATCCACGTACCTTTGTCAGCGATGGTCTGCTGAACGAGGTGCAGGGTGTAGGGCTTAGGGGTTAGGGCAATCACAGAGGTGTAGGCTCCAGCACCACCAAGTGACTGAACAAGTCGCCGAAACCCGGAACGTTCCCGAACCCCATTTTTGTGTCTGGACTTGCGCAAAACCCTATACCTTAAGAACCCGAAACCTGCTTTATTGTAGGTTGTTTGGTAGGTTCTGACTATAAAGCGCTTCTAGGATTCCTAGGTAACCTTAAAAAAATAGGTTTTGGGTTTCTGAAGGTAAACCCTAAGCAGCCCTGCATTCCTCTGCAAAGCGCCCGGGCAGCTCGGCCGAGGCGCTCCACCAAGATCTTCAAGTCTTTGATGGTGTAGCCCCACCTGGGTTTTAAGTTTAGGTCTTATGGTTTACGGTTAGTTTTTGATGGTGTAGCCCCACCTGGGTTTTAAATTTAGGTCTTATGGCTTGCGGTTAGTCTTTGGTGGTGTAGCCCCACCTGGGTTTCTCAAATTTAGGTCTTATGGCTTACGGTTAAGTAGTTTACATGGTCCCTCAATATGGGCCCTTGAAAGGGGTCTCCTTGTATATTCACAAACATATATATATATATATATGTATATACTTCGGAAGGAGGTAAGGACCCACATTACGGGACCATGAAGCCAGGGGGTTGACTATTGTCCCATACAGTCTTGCGGTATACATAACTAAATAAACAAATAAATAAATAAATAAATAAATAAATAAATAAATGTATATATATATACGCATACTTATGTATTCATTACTTTATTTGATCGGTTTACGTAATGCATTCTTATTTAGAGCTATATTTATCTTCATATTATATTAGTATGTATATTTCTGCAACCCATGAACCCGCGAACAAGCCATTCCCTCCAGGCCACTTGATCAAACACTTCCGAACTCTGTTCATGAGCAGAACTTGTGCGCGGCTTTCCCAGCAAGCCGTAAAGACGTGCCCGATGATGCCTTGGATTGTACCCGAAACCCTACACCCCAAACAACAAACAACCCTCAACCCTCAACCCTAAACCCTAAACCCTAAACCCTAAACCCTGAACTCCACTTCCGTGCCGAGGGGCTGAGGGTGGCATGTGGCGCACTAAGGGGCTGGTTTCGCACTGCCACGGTTTAGCGTGGCTTTAGGCTCTAGAATTTCCATGATGGGGGCCTCACACATCCTAAGCTACTCAGACCCTATCGAAACCCTAGCCGCCTTCCTTCCCAACCCTCCCATCCCAGGGGGTCTGAGGGTTGAAGCCTTGGGAACCAGATACATCCCGAAGCTTAAAACCAAGTTTGCATCCATCTGCACCTCCTAGCTAGAACAGCACAACCCTCAAACCCTTTTTAGTCGCTTTACGTGGGGCCCATATCGCTTTACATACGATGGGACTGCGGGACCACATCAAGCAAAACAGGTTGAGATGTGGTAACTAAGGTTATCGCTTTAGGTGGGGCCCATATCGCTTTCCATGGTTTACTGATGTTCGCAACAACTCGTGTCCACCGTAGTACTGGCTTCAAGAAACATAATTTTGGCAGGCGCTCATATGAAGGTCTCTAAGCCCCCTAAACCTGCAAAGCCAAACAGTCCGAAACCCCGAAGCCCGGAGGTCTCCACCCCTCCTCCTTCCGGGCCACGGCTGGCTGGGTTTAAGGTTTAGGGTTTAGGGTTTAGGGTTTGGGGTTTGGGGTTTGGGGTTTAGGGTTTAGGGTTTGGGGTCTTGTTTGTTAGCCACCCGCACTGCTCACACCACTCAAGGTTTAGGGTTTAGGGCTTACGGCTTAGGGCTAGTCGCCACCTTGTCACGAGGTGTCCTTGCAAGCTATGCACCCGCTTTGGGTGTCGGATAAACGCTACATGCTCAAAGCCCTAAGCCCTTATATCCCTAAAAACCCTAGAATCCTAAACCCTAAAATCCTTAAACCCTAATCACCCCTAAAGCCCTGAATTCCTAAACCCTAAAACCCCAAGCCCTTATCGCCCCTAAAGCCCCAGATTCCTCTGTCCTGAACGCGAAAACCCTTTACGCAACCCTCAGCCCGAAACCCTGTTTTTGCATCCGGACTCATTGCTGCCCTACACCCTAAACCCCTGAACCCTAAACCCTAAAACCTACCACTAAAGCCCCAAAACGAAGCAGGGCCCGGCTGCCCACGGGCAGAGCCAGGAAAAGCATGCTGACACCCGTGAGCGTCGCAACCACAAAGTAGCCGCCTTCCATGGTTTGCAAGGTTTCGGGCTTAGGGTGTGGGGTTTAGGGTTCAGGGTTTAGGGTTTAGAGTTTAGGGTTTTTTGAATCGTCTTGGTACGAGTACTCCAGGGATTTAGGGGTCGTGGTTTGTCGGGGAGGGATTACCCCCAGAGTTGAAGGCTTAGGGTTCTCTCCATCCGAATGAGTGCACTGAAGCCACTTGTGTCTCCGAAGAACAAGTAGAAAGAACAGGCGCGGAATTCGCAGCCATGGCTTACAAGACAATGCATGAGGCGGCCTGTAGATTTTGGAGCGTAGTCGCCATAGCCGACGGTGGTCATGGTCACCAGCGCCAGCCAAATCGAGTGCGGCAGGCTCGGGATGTTGTCCCTGCCGAGGAGGTCCGGGGTGGACAACTCACTGTTTTGGGTTTAGGGTTTAGGGTTAGTTTAGGGGTTAGGGCTTAGGGTTTCGGGGTGGTGGGTTCAGGGCCGAAAAGGCAAGACTTGGGAGGTTGCAGGGTTGCATGCAATGCAAGATTTCAGTCTGAAGTTGTCTGCTGGAAGTCTGGGCGCGCTGAGGAATGGGACCTACCCGGCGCCCGGCCCTCTCCCTCCAAAAAACACTGACAATAAGTGCATGACAAATACAACCAAACCCCCCTGAACGCTAAACCCCTTTTGACTCCAGGCTCAGACATACTGACAATCTGTGAAAAATGTCTGGACAACCCTAAACCCTAAACCCTGGCAAGTTTTGCTGGGGTCAGCCCGTTTGTTGAGTGCCTGGACTCAGCGAGGTAGATCGCGGAGGAGGAGACCAGTGTGATGACGGCCATCGTATAGAAGAGCACCGGAAGTGCAGCGATGGAGTTCTTCCTGAGATAAACGTACTTCTCCAATAACCCAGGGGGGGGAAAAGGTTAAACTTTATTCCTACTGAATAAGGAAACCCAAAAAGCTTAAAGGAAACCCAAAAAGCTTAAAGTTCAGCTGTTGGCTAAGTAAGTGAAGCCTCGAAACCTGAACATCTGAACTCTACCCGAACTTTGTTGTCTCCAGGCAACAGAGCTGGGTCCGTGAACGACCATGCGTTTTGGTTAGAGCGTGTGTGGGGCAACTACAACTACAGTATCTGCGTCATGACGTCTTGCAAAGACAAACCAAACCTTAACAAAGCTACCCACACACAACAAGAACCAAGGCTACGTGGCGCCTTTCTAACTTGCGCGCTATCAATATCGAAACAACACTCTCAGTCGCAACCTCATCTGCAACCTCTTTGCTCGGGCAGTACTCGAGCCGTCTTTGTGTTTATCGCACTTTTGCCCTACATCTACCATGCCAGGCGTCCCCGCGTCCACCAGGAGGTGGAAGGATTCGAAGTACCTCTGAACACGCACGTTGCGAGGGCTTAGGGCTTAGGGCTTAGGGCCTAGGGCTTAGGGCTTAGGGCTTCGAAGGTTTCGGCTTATGGGACTCATGACTTGTGGCTGAAGAACCTTTCGGCGTCGGGGCTGCCTCACTCTGGAGAAGCCAAGCATGCCCCGAAACTTTGCTCAAGCCACACGGGGGTTTACGATCACAGGGGGACCCTACTACTGGGGTCCGATTGCAAGGGGATCCTACTAATTGGGAGTCTATATTAGGGGTCCCTTATTAGCATAAACCCCAATCCTGTTTGACCACCAATCGTTTCCCCCTATAAGCTTTTTTTCAAGATAAAGCTAAGACGTGAACACAGACTGCCCCAAACTGCCCATTCCAATTGAATGGGCTGCTTTTCTTAAAGCCTCTGCGACATGGTGTGCATCAAAAAAGACATCGGGATCACTCGACCAGCCCAACCCCGAAACTCAAACATAACCCCGTCAGAAATCTGGGGCTTAGGTTCCAAGGTTCTCGTGAGGGCCTAGGGAACCCGACAACTAATCCACTTTGTCTGACCCCTAAACCCTCAACCCTAAACCCTAGACACCAGACCCTAAACCCTAAACCCTAAACCCAGTCCCTAAACCCTAAACCCTAAACCCTAAAGCCTAAATAAAGCCTAAACCCTACGCCGACTTCCAAGAAAAATGGCTCATTGCAGCTGCTGCCCTGGCCTGATCAGCTTGAGGAACCGTAGGATGGGCACGAAGAGGAGCCTTAAGGGTTCAGGGTTGAAGTTTAGGGTTTAGGGTTTTGGGTTTAGGGTTTAGGGTTTACGGTTGAGGGTTTAGGTTTAGGGTTTAGGGTTTAGGGTTTAGCGCCCGAGCACAGTATCCCCTTTCAAGGGCACAGCGACGTCAGGCGACGCTGACTTCGTCAGCACTTACTTCATGCGCCCCAACAATCTTTTAAAATCAGGACTCTTTCGGCTGTTTAGGACTATTTGGGGCTGCTTTTTTGAGTTGTTTAGAGTTTAGTCATTTTTGCCACCCGACTGCCAATGCTCCAGGTTACTGCAAAAATGGAGACTCGCAACGGTGAGCCAACATTCAGTGCAAAAGGATGCCATCGCCCCTAAACCCTAAACCCTAGACCCTAAACCCTAAACCCTGCTGCAGGGGCCTTTAGGGCTCTAGGTTCAGGGCTTTTTTAAAGCTCGCCCTGCCACTACTCAAGGTGCGCCGAAGCGCCCAAGGAATCACGGAACCTCCCGGGCCTCCGGGATGTGGGTGAGGGGGTGTGAAGGCTCAGACTTACAGGGCCTGCAGGGTGTAGATAACAAGATAGGGCTGCACACTTACCCTAAACCCTAAACCCTAAACCCCAAATACTGAAAGCAGTGAGAAAAAATCTGAGGGTAGATCGCTGCGCATGGCTTCAGGACAACTTCAGGGTTCCCCCATTAAGGGGTACAAGGAGGGACCCCTAGAGAACCCCTCTATCTATATATATATATATATATATATATGGGTGTAGGGTTTTGGGTTTAGGGCTTAGGGTTTAGGGTTTTAAAAAAAAGTTCCTACATACCTTTTTTGCCTGACCCCGAAGGTCCCTTATGAGGGTCCCTCCTTTAGTCCCTTGACCCCAAACATCCGAAGCCGGGTTACCCTAAACCCTAAACCCTAAACCCTAAACCCTAAATCCTAAACCCTAAACCCTCAACCCTAAACGCTAAACCCTAGGCCAAGGCCAGGCCAAGAGGCAGCAGGACCTGCTGCACAGAGGGTGCCTCCGCCGCAGGTGGGGAGCACACCAAGGGGTCGACCGTGCAGGGCTGGGACGTTCCCCCTTGAGGGTTTAGGGTTTAGGGTTTAGGGTTTAGAGTTTAGGGTTTCGGGTGTATATAGGGTTTAGTTAGGGTTTAGGGTTTAGGGTTTAGGGTTTAGGGTTTAGGGTTTAGGGTTTAGAGTTTAGAGTTTAGGGTTTAGGGTTTACGGTTTAGGTCTACTATCAGTCCTTAATAGGGACTATCATAGGGGGTACTATAATCCCTATTAAGGACTGTGAGTATGGGGGGGGGGGGCCTATTAAGGACTGTTAGTATAAAGGGGATTTTAGTACCCCTGAACCCTAAACCCTAAGAGCTGTTAGCATAAAGGGGAAACATCCCAAGTGCAGGGCTTAGAGCTGTCCAACATCCGAAAGTCTTCTCGCAAGCCCTGAGGTTGAAAACTTCTTAAAGGCACCTGCCAAAACTCGACAGCCCTCAACATTTAGGGTTTAGGGTTTAGGGTTTCGGGTATAGGGAACAACACTCACATCACATTTGGGAAGCAACCACCGGAGCAAGTAGTCACTGCCAGGGAGAAAGTGATCCCCCGAACCTTCAACCCCAAGCCCTATAGACCCTAAATAAACCCTGAACCTTAAGCAAACCCTCCCAACAAGGGAAAATATCAATTATCCCAAGGGCCTACCTCGTAAACCGACAAGGACCTAAACCCAAACTTGCTTTTCAAACACGGACTCAGGGCGATGATGAAAGTTCCTGCCAGGACTGCTGCCTTGCACACTTATCTTGCCTCCGGGCCTCTGTGCATTCTCGCTGTGCATGAATGTTTAGGGTTTAGGGCTTAGGGTTTAGGGTTTAGCGTTTAGGGTTTAGGGGTTCAACCCTTTTACAGCCCTCAACCCCCTACACGATACTGAACCCCGAAGAGCCCCTCAGCCGTATCATACAACCTAAACCCTAACCATGCCAAACCCTATACATCCTAAACCGTAAACCCTAAGGTTCCTGAGCCCTATACAAACCCTCCAAACCATGACCCCAAACCCTATGCGGGTGGTTGTCAAAAATGTGATCCCTCTTGGGGAGAATTTTGACAACCACCTATATACATCGTAAAACCCCAAGCCCTCCACCTCCAAAACCCCCCAGCCTCCAAGGAGGACAGCGGCTGGAGGACGAAGCCAGCGCTGGCGCGGAGTGGCAGCCCTAGGGCGGCCAGCCTCAACTTTCGCCTATTTGGTTTAGGGTTTAGGGTTTAGGGTTAGGGTTTAGGGTTTAGGGTTTAGGGTTTAGGGTTTAGGGTTTAGGGTTTAGGATTTAGGATTTAGGGTTTAGGGTTTAGGGTTTAGGGTTTAGGGTTTAGGGTTTAGGGTTTAGGGTTTAGGGTTTAGGGTTTAGGGTTTAGGGTTTAGGGTTTAGGGTTTGGGCTTACAGGGTGAATAGGGTGTATATATGCGCATACGGGGGTTTACGAATATAAGGGATCGACCCCCAAATGATAGGATTCCCTTAGAAGAATACCCCTAATATCGTAAACCACCGTATAGGGTGCACAGGATGTTTTTGTGCAACCCGCCCTGCAGACCAGCCACACTGGAGGGTAACGACTTCGGAATGAAACCCTAAACCCTAAACCCTAAACCCTAAACCCTAAACCCAGCATCCTGTAGGCTTGAACCCCTACCCCAACAGCTCACACTCACCTCCAAGAACGCATGAGGTGGCTCCTGTTACTCCCAAGTTTCAAGGGTTTAGGGTTTAGGGTTTAGGGTTTAGGGTTTAGGGTTTAGGGTTTAGGGTTTAGGGTTTTAAACGAGGGCCCAGATCTTCCAAAGCTCCTGAATTGAGGAATGACCCTAATTCATAACAATGATCCTGAGTATAAATTAGGGTATATTCCTTAATTAAGGGGGTTTGGAAGATCTGCCCCGCAGCAGTGGTGCTCAGGTGCCAAGGTCAGGCTTGGGTACACAGCTAAACCCTCCATCTTGTCTGAGGTCGCTGCGAAGGGCACTTTACGTGCGCCGGTTCACGCGCTGGAATTGTCTAGGAGAATCGCCCCCCCCCCCCCCCCCCCCCCGCCCCATGTCACGAATGCACCACATGGCCGCGAAGAGATGCACCATGCAGAGCCAAGGAACATGTCGCACCAACTGAACGGGTCTCGGACGTAAATCCTCCTGAAGATGGCTTGGGAGGTTCAGTTAAGACTCGTCCCTGAGAAGGAGGATGGAGGATGAACCGCATGAAACAAAACGAGCTTCTCACTTGTCTGCTTTCCGCAACTGCTACTTTCCAGACTAGGTCGAAGAAACATCCTGAGTGAATGAATGCGTCCCATGCTTCAAAAGTTCGCAAACAAAATTAAGAGGCTGAAGAGGCTTCTAGCATTGACGAGATGGCAGCTACTCAGCGCCCCGTGTGTTTTCTAACAACGCCAAGTTGCCCAGACGGATGAGCTAAACCCTAAACGCTTTTTTTTGCATCTACGAAGGGGACTACTCGGGGAACGGTGCAGATATCCTTCCTCCAACCCTAAACCCTAAACCCTAAATAACCCTAAACCCTAAACCCTAAACCCTAAACCCAAACTCCACAAGCTCGAGGCGCTTCGACGGGGAAGAGACGCATCGGCAGAGGAATCTCAGTCCCACACAGGGGTTAGGGAGTTGGGGTAGAACCCTAAACCCCAAAGCCTGAACCCTAAAGGGTTTAGTGTTTCTAGGGTCTAGGGTTTAGGGTTTAGGGAGCTGCTGTTGGCGTTTGCACAAGTTCGCGGGGTACAAACCGCTTGGGCGTTAGATGTTCTGAGGCCTCCGTGGGTATTCTCCTATGCCAGCTCCAGAGATGCAGAGGCGGGTTTAGGGTTTAGGGGCAGGGTTCAGTGTTTCGGGTCTAGGGTTTAGGGATAGGGTTTATAGGTTTAGGGTTTAGGGTTTAGGGATTCACCAAAGATCGCCTTCCTCAGAGCCCCAAGAACAGAATGCAGCCCCGAGAGCTCCGAAACACCCACAAATATCCCGACCTGTGGGGTTGCTGACTAGGCTGCCCAGTAACCTAGGCTTAAAAAGGGTGCCCTTTTTTGCTTAGAGGGGTTTATAAGGGAACCTGAACCCCCCCAAAAAGGGAACAAGGGTACTACTGGGCATCCTAGGCAAGATTCATGAAAAATCTAACTTTTGCTGTTTCTTAGGAATTGGAGTACCCAAAAATCAAAGATCATGTCCCACTAGCCCTAAGTAAGGCTTCGGTAGCCCCAGAAACCATATCATAAGGGCACCCTTTTTTGGGTGGGGGTTGGCTGCTGTGCAAGGGGACCGAAGAACCAAAAAAGAAAAAAGACACAGGGAACCACCCCGCACTAGCAGGTGTAAGGCCTTGGTGTGATGTGGAGTTTTGGGGCTGGAGGGGGTTTAGGGGATGGGTTTAGGGTTTAGGGTTTAGGGTTTAGGGTTTAGGGTTTAGGGTTTAGGGTTTAGGGTTTAGGGTTTAGGGTTTAGGGTTTAGGGTTTAGGGTTTAGGGTTTAGGGTTTAGGGCTTAGGAAAGGCTCGAATCTCGAGGCAGGGGGCTCCATGAGGAAGATGGCATCGAATCCGGTCTCCTGAAGCAAAAAATCCTACTTGAAGGCTCATGGTACTTGGTAACCAATTATAACTGTACATATAACTGCACTTATAAGCCCCTTAAGTGCCCCAATATAGATATAATTTGGGTTATAAGTACAGTTATAATTGGTTACAAAGTACCATGAACCTTCAAGTAGCCCCCAAAAAATGTCCTCTCCCTCTCTTTCTCCCTCCACACTCCGGATCGCCAAAGCCCCAAACAACTTAATGCGCCCCCACCCCTTGCCAACAAAAACAAAGAAAGATACAAAGTTATCACTGAGCTCGATTATGCCAACGTAGACCCCAAACAGTGCGAGACGAAGTGGGCCCGACGGGGGGAACACGGACGTCCAAAAGCGACAGCAGCTTCGAATCTCTCGCACAACCCTAAACCCTAAACCCTAAACCAAAAGCCCTAAGCCCTAAGACCTAAGCCCTAAGCCCTAAGCCCTAAACCCTAAACCCTAAGCCCTAAACCCTAAGCCCTAAGCCCTAAGCCCTAAGCCTTAAACCCTAAACCCTTATACAAAGCATCCCAACCCGGGATCTCCAGCACCGCCGAGGTGGTGACATCGAGAAGGGGCTCTTGGGCGGTGACCAGCAAGGAGAGGATCAGGCTCACCAGGACCAGGCCCTTCCTTGGGTTTAGGGTTTAGGGTTTAGGGTTTAGGGTTTAGGGTTTAGGGTTTAGGGTTTAGGGTTTAGGGTTTAGGGTTTAGGGTTTAGGGTTCAGGGTTTAGGGTTTAGGGTTCAGGTTCGCCACGACCAGGCCTTTCCTCGGAGTCGTTAGAAAGGATTCTTTTGGGGTCAGAAAGGTTTTGTTTAGGGGTTTGGGGGTTTGAGGTTGAAAGTTTAGATTTGTTTGGGGGTTTGGGGTTTGGGGTTTTGGGTTTAGACTCACCAGGAGCAGGCCTTTCCTCTGAAGGCTTCGGAAGGCTTTTTCGGTGCTTGGGGTTCAGGGGTTTGGGCCCCTTTCTCTGGAAGTTAGGAGGTGCTTTAGGTTCAGGCCTTTCCTCCGAAGACTCGGAGGCTTTTGAGGGGTTTAGTTTTTCTTGCGGTCGGGGATTTGCAGACTTAAGAGCTCAGCGGTTCTTACCCTTGGCAGGAAGGTCTTAAAGTAGAACCCCCCACCCCAACCCTGCTAAGACTGTTAGGGTTTAGGGTTTTAGGGTTTTAGGGTTTTAAGGTTTTAAGGTTTTAGGGTTTTAGGGTTTAGGTTTTAGGGTTTAGGGTTTAGGACAACCTCAGCAACACCTCGCCTTCTCGCCGAAACCCTGCTGACCCAAAACGCCCCGAGGGGCAAGAACTGGGACACGGCCCAGGCGGAGCAGCTGGAGTCCGGGTCATCCAGCCTGGTGCAATTCGGGTAGGGGGGGTGGCTAAAAAAAAATTGGTAAACCCTAAATGGGGGGTTTCCGAAATCAGGGGCACCTTGTTGGGGTCCGTAAAGTAAAGGAAACCCGGAACCCTACTATTTGGGGGGGTCTATTCAGGGTCCCTTATGAAACGTAAACCCAACGAAGCCCCAACCAAGATTGGTGCATCTCGGGTACTCAGACTCAAGGCTTGGGTCTCAGGATAGATTGCTAAGGAGTTGCAGCGAGTCTAGGGTGTTGCAATACTTAGCGGGGGCCCTACTTGTGCTTCCCAAAGTTCAGGGGCTCTAGTACTGGGACGCGGGTAAGGGGTGAGACTTTTTTTGGAAACCCCCCCGGCTATTGTTGGCATGCTGTACGCCCAGCGTACCACTCTTAGGTCTTAGGGCTCTGTCCGAAACCCTACCCAAAAAAAACTCAACGCCCCCAGGCCAGAATCATCCCTCTCCCTACTGAACCGAGGCCCCCAAAGCTCCCATTCCAAGGCACATCTCCCACAAGTGGTCGCAGCGGCTGCGGTAGATCAGGCGCATGATGGGCCGCGTCTCCTAGGCACTTGGGGATAAATACAGGGTTTGCAGGATTTAGGGTTGAGGGTTTTTTAAACCCTCAAGCCTAAGGTAATCTGGGCTGGAGGGTTCTGGCCTACTTTATGGGGCTGAAGTGCTCACATATCGACGAATTCCGGACCGGGCTGGCACTTGGACAGTTGCCGGCAAGGGAACCAGCCGAGCACACCCCCCCAAACCCATATGGTGGTTGTGAAGGCTCCGTCTTGGGAAACTATTGAGCGTTCCTACAGGTTTACAAGGGAAACATAAGCCATTTTGAGAGCAGGTGCTTTGATCAACCGAAGAAATGGGTTGGGCTTGATCTTGTTGCCAGAACTCCATGATTGTTCAGCCAGTGGCGGTGACTCATCCAACTTTCAAGCCCATTTTGCAGAGGCCCGTCACGTGAGGCTGATGCAAGGGGCTTTTGCGCCTGCTTCTTTTGGTCACGTAGCTGTAGCAACTGAAGGTCAGGTATGCCTTTGCCGGCGACCAGCAGCGCGACGTACTTGGGTTGAGGGACTCAGTCAAGAATCATGCGTGTTTGGTCTGAAGCTTCTGGGCTTATGGACAAAATGCATCGTCCGGGTGCCCGTGAGTATTAAAAGGCTTTGCGCGCAGCTCCAGGGATGTCGGCCGCATTCAGTTAATTGGGTTTAGGGTTTATAGGGTTTAGGGTTTAGGGTTTTAGGGTTTAGGGCTGCGGAGCCCCGATGCCGTTAGGGTTTAGGGCGGTTGCAAGACCACTCGAAAAGAACACCCATGCAGCCGGATTGCTCATCCATCCACAGCGCTCACCGGCAACAATGACAAGAAATAAGGAATCGGCACTACGGCAACATGAAAGGAGGAACGGGCTCTGGCGGCTCACGACGTGGGTTTAGGGGTTATAATCACGTGTGCTTAGGGGTTATAATCATGAGAGCAGAAGTTTGGGGGGCTGGGGGCTTAGGGCCCCAAAGCAGTCCAGACCGCACGATATGTAAGGTTTGGAGGTTACGAAGGGGCTCCTGCCTGATCTTCGGGAGCAAGCCCCGAATCTTCTGCTTAGTTGTCCAGTAGCCTAGAAAACTAAAGGTTAACCTTGGGGACTATATTAGGAATTCTTATACCCCAAAAAGGTTAAAGGCTATCTACTCTACTACTAAGTCTGACCCTCCAGAACAGCTGAGGCGCTTCGTCTGCTGCCGCCTGCCTGAGACAACTGGAGAAGGGTTTAGGGTTTAGGGTAAGGTTTTGGAGAAGCAGGAACGCTTACGTCGCTGTGGCTACATCTGCGTATTCTTTCCCCGATGGCTCCAAATAGCCTCAAAGTAAATATAAAATTACAGACTTTAGACCCCAATGTCGGTATCATTTGTATACTTGGAGCCCTAAACCCTAAACCCTAAACCCTAAACCCTAAACCCTAAACCCTAAACCCTTGGAGCCCTAGGGTTCATCTCTTTAGAACCAGCTCGGGGCGCTTCTTGAGCTCCTTCGCGTGGATTTGCCAGGCGATTTTCAGATCCACCTGCAGAAATCTGGGCCACCCTCTGGCTCCGGAATGAGGGAGGTCAGGGCTTAGGGTTTAGGGTTTAGGGTTTAGGGTTTAGGGTTTAGGGTTTAGGGTTTAGGGTTTAGGGTTTCGGGTTTAGGGTTTAGGGTTTAGGGCTTAGGGCTTAGGGCTTAGGGTTTATAAAGGGTTCAGGGTGTAGGGTTTCCCGTAGAGGGACATGCTTCATCCCCCTAATATTGACCCCTCCCCCCCCTATACCCCCTAATGTTAAAACCCCCTCCCACCCGGGTGCCTTGGACGCTGCTGGGCAAGATTACGTTAGGGGCTGTTGTGGCGTGTGGTGGGGTGGTGGGCGCGGTGGACGCGGCGGGCGCGGTGGGCGCGGCATGGGCTCGGTGGGCGCGGTGGGAGCGGTGGGCGCGGTGGGCGCGGTGGATGCGGTGGGCGCGGTGGGGCGCGTGGGGCGCGGTGGGGCGCGGTGGGGCGCGGTGGGGGCGCGCCTTGTGCCCCCCCCTAAAAAGTTGAAAATCCTCTCCATTGCCGTCCATTTAGTGTGTCTTGGTTGCAAATCTCGGAAACCTGGTTCCAAATGCGACAAACCTGATGTTGCCTTGTGCCCCAATTTAGCAGTTACACTGTCCGGCAGTGTCGAACATACATATCCCCCCCCCCCCCCCCCCCCCCCCCCCCCCCCTCCCCACCCAACCCCCCCGACCCCCTGTCCCCCAAAACTCGTCTCTGGGACCAACCGAACCAGCGAAATCTCGAAACCAAAGGTCGCCAAACCTCCCCGTCCAAATGGACATGGAAGCAACCCTCAACAAGCCTAGACGGAGAAATTACATAATGGGAGACTGAGACTGTGAGGAGCCGTTTGGAGAGGTAAATATGTCCCCCCTCAGCATCCCCCTACCCGAGATGACACACACTCCTGCATCCCACAGCCTACAGCATCGAGCCCTCAACCCTAAACCCTAAACCCTAAACTCAACCCAGGATGATGCCAAAATCCAGAGGCATGGCGCCTTCCGGACGGGATTGGCCCGTCTCCTGTTGTCCTTCCATTCGGAAGGCGTGTACTCGAGAACCTTCGAGCGCACCAGTCTTTGCAAGTCGTGGACTAGCTTGGCGGTTTCACAGGAGTGTTGGGGATCCGACCATTGATGTTACTGTCGACAGAGCCAGGGTCCCAACTAAAGCAGCTAGGCAGCCGTTGCATATGAACCCCCAAGCCCTATCGACAGACCCGGACAGTCGGACAGAGTCCTAGGCTCTAGTCCTCATGGAGCTGAATCGGGGGTTGAATAGAAGGGAATCGAGTATCCTAACCCTAAACCCTAAACCCTAAACCCTAAACCCTAAACCCTAAACCCTAAACCCTAAACCCTCAACCCCAGCCCCGAGTCCCAAAAAGGCCCTCAACGGCCTGGGGCTTGCCATCCTCCTTGAAGGACACCATCTCGTTGCGCAAGGAAACGGGGTTGCTCATTGTGGACATCCTGCACATCGGGGCTTCGAATGGGGTTTAGGGTTTAGGGTTTAGGGTTTAGGGTTTAGGGTTTAGGGTTTAGGGTTTAGAGGTATTATCGTAGCATCCGGGTATGTATTACCTTGAAAGGGCGTGTAGTGGTATAGGGTTCATACTACCTTAATACGCAGACCCTGGGAGGGTCAAAAAATTAGAGCCCCCAAATAGTACCCTATACTACTGCTATTGGGTAATTGTTTACGAACCCCTTAAGGGGATCTATTTTTTGGATCCTGCCAGGGGTCTGGGTCGGGGCTTCTAAGGGGCTGCCAGGGCTTTGCGGGTTCAGGAGGTTTGGGTCTCAGGATGTACCTGCAACCCCAACTGCCTGCAGTTGAGTAGTAACTACCCCTTTCAATCATAGGTATAACCCATAAAACGTATTTAATTGGGGTTGCAGGTAGGTACGTTTTAAGGGTGGGGCGGGGCGGGGGGAGTGTGGGCTAGGGTGGGGGGTTAAGCAGCTGTAGGTCTTGGATATGGGGATGCTGGCGGGGCGCTCTGAGCCTTTCAGAGCCTGAACGCTGCACTTTCAGTCGTAAACGGTAAACCCACAACCGCAGGACAAAACAAAAACAAAACAAAAAATCGCAGAGCATCCCCAGAGAAGGACATGTGTTTGTAAACCCTAAACCCTGCAACCAAAACCCAAAACCCAAAACCCAAAACCCCACGCGGACTTCCAACAAAATGACGAACCAACCAACCAACCTATAAAAAGCTTAAGAGTTCCTTCCCAAGGGTCCAGGAGGGCTGAAAACTCGACAGTTGCGACCAAATACACAGTAACCTTGGCACTAAATCTAGCCAGCCCCCAAAAGTCAGCAAGAGAGAAGTCAGCAAGGGACCTGCCGAGAGAACTCCCAACCGTTTAGGGTTTAGGGTGGTTCAGGGAATTTCCAGCCCTAAACCCCTAACCCCTAACCTCAAACCCCTAAACCCTAAACCCTAAACCCTACACCCTAGGTCCTGGAGTGCCCCCTGCTCTCTTCAGACACCGTGCTGTTGGATGCGAAGGAGCTCAAGGAGGAGCCTTGGGATGCAGGGTTCGGGGTTTAGGGTTTAGGGTTTAGGGTTTAGGGGTTTAGGGGTTTAGGGTTCAGGTTTGGGGTTTAGGGTTTAAGGTTTGGGGTTTGGGGTTTAGGGCCTAGGGTTTAGGGGTTTAGGGGTTTAGGGTTCAGGTTTAGGGTTTAGGGCTAGGGTTGCACAGTAGGGTTTAGGGTTTTCGGCGCGTAGCTGCAGGAACCGCTCAGCAGGTCTGCACACAATCTGCGCACATCTCTCCCTCACTCCTCTCTCACACTCTCTACTCCATGGTCGAGCAAGCGTGTTGATTTCTCGGCCCCCCTTGAAACCAAGCCGAGCTAAAACCCATACCCCCACAGTCAGGAGCCAGTTCTGAAGATTCCAGGGCTTAGGGTTTAGGGCCTGGGGTTCTAAGTCCCTAAATCCCAAACCCCTACCGGAGACACCCAAACCCCTAAGACACCCAAACCCTACAGAGTAGTAGGTGTTAAACCCCCCCGAAAGAGCAGGCAGCACCATCAAAACCGTATGTAGGTAACTGGAGCCCGCAGGTAAGCCCTCGAAGCCCTTGTGATCTTACTTCTCCAACAACCAGGGGAGAAAAGGTTCAACTCTCTTCTCCCTACTTCACAAGGAAGCCCCAAAAAAGCTTAGAGTTCACCTGTTGGCTAAGTAAGCAATGCATGAACCCCAGCTGCCCAGCTGGCGACGGCTGGGCCTCTGCCCCAACGTCTGCCTTGCCCAAAGGGTTTAGGGTATAGGGTTTAGGGTTTAGGGTTTAGAAAGTTAGGGTTTAGGGTTTAGGGTTTAGGGGAGGGGATGGGGGGGTTGAGGGGTCGAGGCGGCTGCAGATTTGGCTTGGGGTGTTGGGATAAGAGGGCTTAGGGGGGGCTTAGGGGGTTTAGGGCAAAAAGGGGGGGGTTTGGGTCTGGGGTGCAGGGCGTATTTAGCTCAGGGTTGCACAGCATGCAGCGGCTTATGCATCGCCGGCATACCGCACACAGAAGACAAGCCCTAGAACTGGAAGGCCTGACCTCTGGCGTGCCCTTATCGTCTACACAATGGAGGGCAGAACGACCCTTGCGATCTTCACCATTTTCCATTTGAGACCTTCAGTCTGAAGAACTCAGAAGGGCTCGTTTGGGTCTCCACTCCTTCCCAGGCAAGCTAGACAGCAAGACCCAGGCCCATACGCGAACCCAAAACTTGCCAGTGCCCAGAGAGAGCAAACCTCAAGTCTGGCTTTAGGGTTTAGAGTTTAGGGTTCAGGGTTTAGGGTTTCGGGTTTAGGGTTTCGGGGCTTGGCTACGTAGCCCTCAAGGAAAACCACCCAACCTGCCCCGAGCCCCACACTCGTCCAACAGAAAGGCGGCCCTAGGTGCGTGTGGAGGAGGCATGCTGGCTCCGCTTCAGTGGAGGGACGGCCGGACGGGATGACTGGAAGCACCTGGGAGGTTAGGGTTTAGGGTTTAGGGTTTAGGGTTTAGGGTTTAGGGTTTAGGGTTTAGGGTTTAGGGTTTAGGGTTTAGGGTTTAGGGTTTAGGGTTTAGGGTTTAGGGTTTAGGGTTTAGGGTTTAGGGTTTAGGGGAGGCCGACTGTTTCAGCCTTTGACGTTGTGTGGTTTGGGAGCAGGGCTCTTTGTCAATGAGGGCCTCAATTCAGCGGTCCTGTGTCTCAGAGGCCCAAAACCCTGTACTCATAAGGGGGCCCTAGCGTTGAACAGCCTTCATATGGGGGTTTTCGAAAGTAGGGGCACCTCCTTGGGGTCCTTACTATAAGGGGATCCTACCCTAAACCCTAAACCCTTTTTGCGCCAGGACCCTAGTATAGCCCCAAGTTTAGGGCTTAGAGATGTTTAGGGTTTAGGGCCGTCGGCATCAAGTCAGACGCCAGATTGCATTACGGTTGAAGGCCCTACGGCGCTACGGCTGGGCCCGGTATCTGCCATAACCTCCAGGCCGAAGCAGGTATGTATCTTCTCTTGCCCAACAAAACGAGAAAGGGCTCCATTTCGAGAATGGAAAGGGTTGCTGGCCTCGGCGATTTTCAAGATCACCCAAAACGCCGCCAATCCCTGAGGCGCCACGTGAGTCCTGAAACTGAACCTCAAACTGGCACACGGCCGCCAAAAACAAGCCAAACGGCCCTTGGTGGTCCAGAAAGATTGGTCACAGAACCAGCCAATTGCACAGAAAGGGCTCCTGTTGTAATCCGGAGCCTTGAATTTAGAGCAGTCATAAACACAAAGAAGGACCATAAACCTCATAACCTAAACCCTAAACCCTAAACCCTATAAACCCTAAACCCCACTCATAATCTGTGAGTGCCCAACTGCTTGTTCAAGCGCCGAGTCCCGATGGCGATGGCTTCCTCGTTCCCGTTGCTTGAAGCGGGAAGGGCGGGCGGACCTCTTCAAGCCCAACCTGAGCTGGGGCAGGGTTGAGGTCCTGAGGATGCTGGGGGTCAGATTTAGATTTTGTCCGGCTTTAGGGTTTAATTCGCTCAAGGCGAGGCGCACACTGTCTCAGCCCGTTTGGGCCTACATGATACACTACTTCTACTACTCCGAGTACACTCCGGGCGATACATACGCACGAAAGAACTCAGTGCTGGACTTTAGGGTTTAGGATTTAGGGACTCTATCCAGGAGGCATACCACCTCAGCCATCACTTCAGTACACGTCCAAGACATCACACGCTTGGGCTTGGGGTAGGGTTTGCCCTATACACACAAATAAAAACCCTAAAGCTCTAAGGCTCTAAGCCCAGTTCAGGCCAAGCGCACAGCTTGTCCCTCGCCGTTTAGGGTTTAGGGTATAACTCTGAAGCCCCCTGATCCCTCGGAGCTCCCAACCTTGTTCCGCCTTAAACCCCCACCCCCACCCGTTTGCAGCAGGGCCTCCCTGATGCCCCACAAAACCCTAAAACCCCTAAAGCCACAAAAACATCTAAAACCCCTTACAACCCCCCAAAAAATCCCTAAAACCCAAAAAGCCCCGAAAAGCCCCGAAAAGCCCCTAAACCCTAAACCCTAAACCCTAAACCCTAAACCCCAACAGCTCCGCAACCCCCCAAGCCCGCCCTGGCTGCGAAAGCCAAAAAGCAACTCTTGGAGGCATGCGTTCACCTCGCGCAGGGAACCCCTAGCAAAAAATTGGGTTTAGGGTTTAGGGTTTAGGGTTTAGGGTTCAGGGTTCAGGGTTTAGGGTTTAGGGTTTAGGGTTTAGGGTTTAGGGAATAGGGACCCCAGCAAAAAGTTATATGGGGTTTACGAACACAGATTCCCTTACAATAAGGACCCCAATAAGGTACCCCCCGATGTCCGAAACCCCGTACCCCACAATTGAAAATAAACCCAGGTATCCCCAAGACATGAGGGCCCTCAAAGATTTGGCTCAGGGTTTCGCAGGGGCGCGGACAGGGGGGGGGGGGGGGGAGTGATCACATTGAAGCCCTTTTGGGTGTCTCGTTGAGAACTCTAAATTAGTGCTTCTGGCTATAGCTCGGGTACCAGAACAGGCCCAAAGTTTATATCAACCTCAGAGAGAGAGAGGGAGGGAGGGAGGGAGGGGAGGGAGGGAGGGAGGGAGGGAAGGGAGGGAGGGAGGGAGGGAGAGGGGATTTCGGTGCTTCATAAGCATCTGTAACCCTTCTTGCCCTAATCCCTGATCATGTTACCCCATCTCCAGCTCCTCCCTCCCTTTTTTGGAGGTGATCGGGAGGCAGGCCCCTTTGCCCTCGAGATATCAATATCCAGGCAAACACAACGGATGTCAAAAACTTGGCGCCATCCCTAAACCCTGTAGACCCTAAACTTGGGATTTTCCCCCTTATACTAACAGTCCTTACTAGGGACTAGCGTACCCCCTTTTAGAATCCCTATTGAGGACTGTTGGTATTAGGGGGGACAACCCTAAACCCTAAACCCTAAACCCTAAACCCTAAACCCTAAACCCCCAAATGTCGAAACCGGAGGCCGCCTGGTCGGAGAGCTCGTCTAGCCTCAGGTTTCTTCCACTTTCGGAGGTCGGGGCATCACTTGCATCGGACGATGGAAGCCCGTCCTCCGAAAATCCTCTTCGGGTAGCTACGTGGTCCCTTAGTCTCGGGCCCTTAAAAGGGGGGAGCCCTTGTATGCCCCTTGTATACCCCTATACAGATTAAGGGCCCATACGTCAGAACCCTTCAAGGGAGGCAAGGGACCATGTTATTTTAAGGGCCGATGAACCTGACCCAGGAAATCCTGCCCCTTCAGCAACAACATCCTAAACCCACCACCCGACATCCCCTGCCCCCAAGGCCGATAGCCCCGAAACCTTGAGGGGAGAGGGGCTCAGGGCTAGGGTTTATATAGGTTAAACCCTTGAAAGCCCCGAACCCCCCTATCCCCCACAAGCGTCTGCCAAGACCAAGGGGCCGCGCTTCGATGTCGGCGAAAGAGCGCAAAAAGATCGAAGTCTCTGCGGAGTGTTCCACCTGAGTTCTAGCACTGGGCATGAAAGTTCTTGCCAAGCAGTATCGTAAGACACAGTGGTACGTAATACGGAAAAATCACAGCACTGATACGAAACAAGAGCAAGACAAATACAGAAGTACCGACGGTAACAGATTCGACAACTGATGCGAATAGGATAAGTCTAGGATAAGTCTATGCAGGTATGCGCAGGTCGAGAGTAGGAGCTTTAAGAGGACACCCTAAAACCCCGATGCCCAAACCCGAACGTCCGACCCCCCGACCCCGCCTCCTACCCCCCCCCCCCCCCCCAAACGATCAAACGATGAATCAAACGATGAACCCTAAACCCTAGATCCCTTTTTGACCACTGGGCTCCCTAACCCCTAAACCCTAAACTCCCGAAACCTCAATCGCCCCTCACTTGCCTGGACCTTCTGCGAGCCCTCCGCCTCGGCTCGAGGGTCTCTGCTGGTTTAAGGCTTTGGGAGGGGAGCTAGCTACGTTTAGGGTGTAGGGTTTAGGGTTTAGGGTTCGGGTTTAAGGTTTAGGGTTTAGGGTTTAGGGTTTAGGGTTTAAGGTTTAGGGTTTAGGGTTTAGGGTTTGGGGTTTGGGGTTTGGGGTTTGGGGTTTGGGGTTTGGGGTTTGGGGTTTGGGGTTTGGGGTTTGGGGTTTGGGGTTTGGGGTTTAGGGTTTAGGGTTTAGGGGAGGTGGGTTCAAGGGGGGGTATGTAACCCAAGGGATTGAATCCCTAAAAGGGCTTATGTTTTATATACCCTGCTGAACCCTAAACCCTAGTAGTCTAACCCTCTAAGGGTCCATGTACCTAAATAGGTAATACTTGCGCCGAAAGTACCTCCTATGACTGTTGGGCCCAAGTATATGATAACATGGTACATGAACCCTTGAGGTACTATGCGCTTAAGAACCACCAACATCACAATCCCTATATTGCCCTCTTTAGGAAGAATATTCAATATTTTCTTGACGGGTTCTTCAGCACAGAGTAGTTAGGATTTATAAACTAGGTTGGCCTCCTTAAACACTCGAAAACAGATTCCTAAATATGATCCAATAAGGGGAGAAAAAAAACAAAAGCATTCGCAAGGGTCTACTCGGTAAGTAAAGGGTTCAGAGGGCGTTGAGGAGTTGAGAAAGCTTCGAGTTTTCCAGGTCATAGGGCCCAGAATGGTGTTGCGTTTCGCTCTTGTCAACTCATTTTACGATTTACTGAGGTCTGAAGTGCTTTCTGGCAAGCACGCCGTGGAGGGCCGAAGCTTCAGGCAGCTTCGGGGGTATCAGGGGCAGGGTTTAGTCGCTCACTGTCCAAGGGTTTAGGGTTTAGGGTATAGGGTTTAGGGTTTAGGGTCCGCCGACCCTGGCGGCGTGTAAAACCTCCCTCTTTCCCTCCTTACCCCCCCCAAAACGCGGGGGGGGGGCGGGGGGGGTGGGGGGGTTAAAAAATAGGGGGGGGGGGGGGGGGTAGGGGGGGGGGGGGGGGGGGGTGTAGGGGGGGGGGTGGTTAGGGGGGTAACCCCCCCCGCCAGCTTTTCCGTGGAGGAACAGGCCACCCACACCGCGTAAACTCATGGACCATAGGCGTTTCGCACAGGGCATTTTGGAAAAAACCCAAATGCTCCCCCCCCCCCCACCCCCACCACCCCTACACGCCCCCCCAACTACCCCCTACCCCCCCCCCTACCCCCCCCCTACCCCCCCCCACCCCCCCCCACCCCCCCCCCTCCCCCCCCCCCCCCCCCCCCCCCAACCTTTAACAGGAACCGCAAACTTGCTCTCCTGCGGGGTCAGCGGCTTGAGCCGGAGGCTCTTAAATTTAGGGACACAGATCACAAGGAAAGCCGGCGGAGCGTCGCTTGCAAGACCAGAATGCGTGACATGTGCAGCTTCTGCATGCAGAAACCAACACCCGAAGAGCACATCCCAAATTAGACCGCCAGCAAAGAGCTTTGCAAGAAGACGTCGTGTTATGGACGGAATGTTAACCACACAGCGGGCTGACGTGCAGCCGCGACACTGGGTGCGACATGGGAGCGCTTCAGCGGATCTATCTGCTCTACGGACCCTAAACCCCAAAGCAGCAAGCCCTGTCTGGGGCCGAAATCTTATGTGGATCATCAACTGGAACATGCCCCCTAGAACAAGTAAGCCTGCCTGCTAGTTGCTCTAGTTGAGGTACACTTCCTGGTCGAAGGAGACAAGCGTGGGTGCTTACTCACATCTCTCGATACGGTGCATAAACACCACGGGCACGAGCACCCTCAAACTATAGAACTCGCTCTGGAAACCGGAGCTTTTGCCTGAACCTTTCTTCACCCTAAACCTTTTATCCTAAACCCTAAACCCGAAACCTTAACCCTTTTCTTTTTGCTTCACGTCTCCCGGGGTTCCCTCAACCCTTTAACCGCAAAGGCCACAGGCACCCCACAGACCTTTGGTCTGGGGGGCAGATGCGCTGAGCTGCGACCCGCGAGCCTCCCAAACCCTAAGCTCCAAGGGAGCTCGAGCCGCGAACGGCACCAGGCCGGTTTTTTTTTTTAGGGTTTAGGGTTTAGGGGTTTAGGGGTTTAGGGGTTTAGGGGTTTAGGGGTTTAGGGGTTTAGGGGTTTAGGGGTTTAGGGTTTAGGGCTTAGGGTTTAGGGTTTAGGGTTTGGGGTTCAGGGCACTTTTCTGAGGTTTAGGTTGGGATGCTCCCCCTTACACTGATTGAGAGTTCTTAATAAGGATTGCAGCCCCTAAACCCGAAACCCTAAACCCTAAACCCTAAACCCTAAACCCCAAACCCTGAACCCTAATTAATAAGGGCTGTTAGTATAAGAGGGAGCATCCCCAAGGTGTAGGCCTAGACCCGTTTATAAACTAGGGCAGTAAGCTACAGGGTTCTGAGGGTTTCAGGGTTTTGGGCCCTGTTTTGGGGTACGTGTGGACCCCCGTGGACCTTTAACATGAGTCACATGCAGGTGCCTTGTAGCCAGATTTAGAGGGTTTAGGGTTTAGGGGCAAAACAGGGCAGAAGCCCCGAAAATCTTGTTGCTGCAGGCCTTTCTTCAGAAGCTCTCGGGCAAAAATGCTCCCACGGGTCCTCGAATGAAATGTAGAACTATGGTCGTAAGCGCTGGGTTTCGGAGGCAGGACACAAGGAGGAGGAGGAGGAGGAGGAGGAGGAGGAGGAGGAGGAGGAGGAGGAGGTTAGGAGTAGGAGCAGTAGCAGTCGTAGTCAGGGAACCCTCACGCCCCAGAAGCACACACACCCTAAACCCTAAACCCTGACACCTAAACCCTAAACCCTAAACCCTGCCCTTGGGAAAGCCCCTGTGCCCAGCGCCGGTGGGGCCAATCTGCACCTTGAAGAGTGGCGGACATGATCACGATCTTGAAGTCCGCCAGCTTGTGCTGCAGCCTCTTCGGTTTGGGGGCTGGGGGGGGGAGTGGGGCTGTTTAGAATTTGGAGTTTGGGTTTCGGGGGGGGGGGGGGGGTGGCGTAGAGGGGGGGTGGGGGGGCCCTGTGGAGTTGGGAATATAAGACACATAATCTTGCTATTCCTCTTTGTTGTGTGGGGTGGCGGCGCGGCGCAGCTTTTTTTCAAGATGTTCTCAGAGCTTCGCGTGGTCCTAGATGTGATTGGCAAGGTGGTCCAGAGGCCAGGATTAGAGATTGTATAGGGCTTAGCCGCATGCAGCCATGCTCTCTGAAACTTGGAAGCAAGGCCCGGGAACTCTCCAAAACCTCGTCTTCGTCACAAGCAAAGGAACCTTGACGGCCAGCAAGCAGCACCCTTCAGCTACCCATTTCCTTTGCATCAAGCCCCGAAATTGAGGCCACAGAGCCATACCGCCAAGCCGAAACCCAACCCTCAAGCCTAAATCCAGAGCAAACATACTAACAGGGCTTAATAGGATTGATAGTACCCCCTATGATCATCCCCATTAAGGACTGTTAGTATAAGCGGGGAACATCCCAACTCTAAACTCTCAACCCTAAACCCACAAACCCTCAACCTAAACCCTATAAACCCTAAACCCTGAACTCTAACCCCTATACGCCCTAAACCAAAAACAAACACAACCCACCCGTTACACCCTTGACCGTCACATTACGCAGCCCTAAACCCTAAACCCTAAACCCGAAACCCTAAACCCTAAACCCTAAACCCGAAACCCTAAACCCTAAACCCTAAACCCTAAACCCTAAACCCTAAACCCCCTACACCCTTGACAGTCAAGGCGCTGGAGCTTGAGAACCAGTGACAGCAGGTCCGCGTCCACGGAGCGCTCGTGGGCCTCCGCCGAGGGTGTTTTGTGCACAAAGGGTTTATAGGGCTTAGGGTTTAAGGTTGAGGGCTGTGTAAGGTGACGGTTTCCGGCTTTCGGGATCTAGGGATAGGGTTGAGGAAACCGAGCACGCCCTTAGGGATTCGGGGTGCCTTCAAACTTCAGACCCCGGCGCTCTCTCCCTGCAAGCCCTTTAGGCAAGATGATGTGAGGATGCTAGCCCTTGAAGCCCCCTTTGATGAAGGTCGAAGCCCTCCTTCAGACCTCCTTCAAGGGGGCTTGAACCCTTGAAGTCCCTCAAGGGGTGGGCTTAGGGTTTATGGTTCACACTGAAAGGTTGCCATTCTTGGCGACTATGAGCCCAGTCCAGCATTTCGAGGTCGGCTTCGCCCTAAAGGCCCAATCCCTGGCGAAGCCATCCTTTTCCGCGGGGGCGACGCGGGCATGCATTCGCAGTCGCACGCCCGAGGGCGTCAGGAATTTCCAAGCCTGGGTGGGGGCACATGACTTGGGTACTTCATACGCCAACTTTTGAAGATCATGGTGTTAGCTCACCTGCTGCAAACTGTCACCAGGACGCCAGCCGCGAATCACTACCACATCACCATGGTCAGAGCACTCGCAACTCCAACTTGAAAGAAACCAATCTCTGAGCGGTACGACTTACGAATCCTGACTAAACTGCAGCAAGAAACACTAACTGAGCCACCAAGGCAGTCCCTAAACCCTAAACCCTAAACCCTACACCCTACACCCTAAACCCTAACCGTGCACCGGAGAATGGTTTGCAGCACTCTCAAAGCCAAGCGGCACATCATCCCAGCCTGGGCTCCATCTACTCTTTGCTTAAGAGCCCCCCCAAAACAGCCCTAACCCCTAAACCCTAAACCCTAAACCCTAAACCCTCAATATTCTTCCTTATAAGGAATCTGTTGATTAGTTGGCTCTTAAGCTACCGTAGAAAGGAGGAGGGCAGGCCAAATGAGGACGGGGTGAGCGGCTATGGGCCAAGAGAGCCCTAAACCCTAAACCCTAAACCCTAAACCCCTCAGAGGCTGGGAGGAGCATGGCTGTGCCGCCCCGGTGGCAGTCCTCCACAGCTGCTCGACTCAGCGCCGCTGCCTGTCATCTGAGACTCTTGAAGATTGGATTTACTCATAAATGGGTTTAGGTTTAGGGTTTAGGGTTTAGGGTTTAGGGTTTAGGGAATTATGGTCCCGTTGTTGGGGTACCCTGAGTAAGAGGGGCCGCCTTATAATCAGGACCCCGATAAGGACCATATGTTTAGACAAATGACCATGTGGGCATTTCCAAAACAGGGGTACCTCTTAAATCTGCCCCAAAATCCTTGTGACGGGAGGACAGATTGAGTTTAGGCCCCTGGGTTGGGGGGCTCCCTAAACCCTAAACCCTAAACCCTAAACCCTAAACCCTAAACCCTGAGCCCTGAGCCCTAAACCCTAAACCCTAAACCCTAAACCCTAAACCCTAAACCCTAAACCCTAACCTCCTAGGTGCAAGTCCAGGGCTTGAAGCGTGCAGAACTCAACCAAACTAGCGTCTTGATACTTCGAATAGGGTTTTGGGGGTTATTATACTTAAACTTTATATAACCAGATCTTCCAAAAAACCCTTAAATAAAGGAGTTTACCCTAATTCATACGGAGGATCCTTAGTAAAAGTTAGGGTACATTCCTTAATTAAGGGTTTTTGGAAGATCTGGGTAGGGACCATAAGGAGAGACTATTAATCAATATTCCGACCCGTATAGTGGGATCAGGCTGGCGTTTCTGCGGGGGCTTGCTGTGTTACATCTCTTGCAAGGGCTTGCGCAAGTTATCTGCGAGGGAGCCCTAATGACATGTAAATAACCTTAGTTGTCCAGTAGCCTACAAAACTAAAGGTTAACCTTGGGGACTATATCAGAGATTATAATGCCCCAAGAAGGTTAAAGGCTATCAACTCGACTACCAAGCAACACTAAACCAGGATTGGGCAGGACAGGCTGAGAAAGGCTAGGCATCCTCGCAGGAGTGTCGTTTGTGAATGGCATGCGCGGGCAAGGCTTCTGGTACGATGTCCGAGCTGTAATTAAGGCCACCTCCTCAAGTCAGGAAGCAAGCGCCGACATAGAATCTTGAGACAACCCTAACTTTAAACCCTAAACCCTAAACCCTAAACCCTATGTTAGTCACGAACATCGTCGTGACTTCGGCCAGCCAAAAGTGCACGCTGATGTGCGGGTTGCAAGGTGGCGTCAGCATCCGTGGGCCAGACGAATTTCTCCACAGCCTATCTTGCCGTGGAGCCTGGAACATGAAAGCACTGTGACAAAATCCAGCCGGAATCTCCAGGCGAAAAGCCCGAAGCAGCTTCTCTGTACTGGGGCGGCGCGACCCCCTTGGCCCCCTGTCACTCAACCTCTTCAAAGGTCCGCCCGCCGCCCACACAAACACGTCTGTACTGGGCGCAGCTTCTCATGGGCCACACATGCCGAAGAGATCGCAAGTCCTAGTTCATGGCTGAGTGGATAGCATTGAAAATCTACACTTCTTTTCCTTATCGAGTTTAAGTACCCTTACAAGTATAAAAGAATTCCTTATTGAGTTTAAGTAGCCTAAAACCTGTAAAACGTTGCCCCACTATGACAGAGAGTCGGTGTCTTGGCCTCACCCTGCAAGGCTGCATCCATCACCTTGGGTAGGTCGGCGACCTCCGTCTTGAATTCCTTCAGCTCCTCCTGGGGACTTACGATACTGGTGGCGCCTTTTGTTTGGGGTCCTTAATATAAGGGGGATCCTACTAAACTCTTTAGGGGGTCGATCTTAGGGGTCCCCGATTTTCGGAAACCCCCCTCCTTGACTTTGTCGGTGACTTCGGCCACGTCCTCCTTCACCTCTGCCTTCGCCACCTCTTCCTTAACTTCCTCCTTCGCCGCCTCCGCAGCCTCCGCCACAGCTTCCACCACGGCGTCCAGCTTGGCCTCCTCCTTGGCCACCTCCTCCGCAACGGACTCCTCCACTGCGGGCACGGCCTCCTTGACCTCGGAAGGCTCGGCCACGGAATCCTTCTGCTCCTCAGCCTTCTCCTGCGCGGAGGGGGAAGCGTCCTGGGAGGGAAGCGCCTCGGCGGCAGGCGCCTCGGTGGAAGTCTTCGAGTCGGCGGGTGCCTCCGTCACTGCGATGGGCACCTTCTCCACAGCCACGGGTGCTGCAACCTTGCTGGTCTGGCAACCCATGCTGACAAGGAGGGAGATTGCGATCCGACTGCTTTAGAAGCTGGGAAGTTGCTTCAGCCAAAATCGCCGCAGCCATTTAAGATTTTCGGGATTTGGGTACGACATGTGGCAAAGAGATTCCCAGATAAACGGCGTCCCAGAGATTTAACCCTTTGAAGCCCTAAACCCTAAACCCTAGACCCTAAACCCTAAACCGCATGACCTCGTGAGTTCATGCTCTAGCAACCACTTCAAACTTCCTCGGGACACCGAACCAAACCTTGGTTGCATGACGTGATGGAGCTGAGAGGCTAGGCATCACTTTTCTGGGGGCGTTTAGGGTTTAGCGTTTAGGGTTTAGGGACTTTCTGTACTCTCTACCTTGGAAGATATGGGGGTTTCCGATATTGGGGGTATCTTCCTACTATTTGGGGGGTACCTTCCTACTATTTGGGACAGGTTATCTAGACTACCATATATCAAAGGTTAACCTTTTTGGAGCTAGGGCTAGGGTATTCAGCCCCCTCAGGACATGTCAGAAAGGGTCCGAAGGGACAGCCTAGAATAATGTCGAAGCAATTTGCGTCGGGGGGTTGCAAGGGGTTGCTTAGGGGGCTGCTGGGAGAGCATGCTCATGCAGGTATTGCTGCCTGCTTCTGCGTGAGGTACACCTGGAGGTCTCCATCCTGGCAGGGTTTAGGTTTAGGGTTTAGGGTTTAGGGTTTAGGGTTTAGGGTTTAGGGTTTAGGGTTTAGGGTTTAGGGTTTAGGGTTTAGGGTTTAGGGTTTACGGATCCCCAAGGCTGCGTGGAACTTAAGAGGGCCAAGGCCAGCGAAGCGGAAGTGTGGAGGTCCACCCCAACAGCAGGGTTGAGGCTCGGAGGACCTTCCCCCTCAAGTGAACCCTAAATGTGATGGATCACATGCCAGCCGTCCTGCCAGCCTTTGTTTAGGTTTTAGGGTTAGGGTTTAGGGTTTAGGGTTTAGGGTTTAGGGTTTAGGGTTTAGGGTTTAGGGTTTAGGGTTTAGGGTTTAGGGTTTAGGGTTTAGGGTTTAGGGTTTAGGGTTTTTTTCGCTCCCGCATAGCTGGCCGAACCGCAAGGCAGGGTGATGTCGATGAGACGTCTGTGTCGGAAAAAGGGGGTCCACTACCGGACCTGCCGTTCTGCATGCTATTTCCCTCCTATTAAAGCCAAAACAACGCTATCAATACCTAACACTCAACCCCCCGTACCCCTTCAATGCTGGGAAATAGCCGATTCAGTGCACCACTACTACCCGATCCAACCTCACGTGAGTCTCCCCTAGTCGGAAACCTCCAAAGGTTTCCAGACAAAAAGACAACAACATCTCAGGGAATCACCGAGGTTGTCAGCGCATTTGTACAGTATAGGGGACTCCCTCTGCATCTGAAGTCCTCCACTCAGGATTGCCGTCCAGCAGAGGGTGCTACGTTCCAACCGGAGTGCAGTCAAACATCACCAACATTTAACAAAGGTAAAACTCTTTCATTCATAGTGTTTAGGGTTTAGGGTTTAGGGTTTAGGGTTTAGGATTTAGTGTTACAAAATTCAAACATCCCGAAACATTCTCAAATTTTCTAGCACAGAAAAGCAGCCCTACGCTTTGAACCTAAAGCCTCGAAGGCTGTGCGCTTGGGCCAACCCTGTAATCTCCGCCTTGGCGTTGATGCCCACGAAGTCCATGCTGACTCCCCTCTTCTCAGCCTAATGATATAGGGGCCTTCATGATTAAAATAAGGATTTGGGAGTTGTTATCGAATAACCATAAAGGGGCCATAAGGGAATACGATTCGTGTCTATTCCGACCCCGATAGTGCGCACGAGACTAGGTGGGTTCCGAAAGCTCCTCGCAAACCTCATCAAACCTTCATCTTACATTTGGGGAAGAAATGGGTCCTATGAAGGTTTGTGGTCCGGGTTTAGGGTTTAGGGTTTACGGTTAGGGTTTAGGCATAGACGATCCCCATGCTGGGGTGCATTTCGTACACCCTGTGGCGGGGGAGGAGGTCGAGGAGGAGCCCTGAACTGGCTGACAGAGCACAAAACGCATAGGAACCCTAAACCCTAAACCCTAAACCCCTGAACCCCTACCAGGGAATATTGCTTAGTCTATATAGGGATTCTTAATATGGTTTAAGGTATATTCCTTAATTAAGGGGTATTGGGCTCTTTGGGCCAAGCAGGGTAAAAATGGAATATCCCCCGGATGTCCTACCTAGATCCAGTATGCCCATGAAGCGGAACACCAAAAGTTACGCCAGCAAACATGTTCGGGATGGGTGGGGTGGACGACGACGTACACACAAAGAAGGCTGACGGGAGTCCGCCCTGAGACAGAAAGGAAGCCAAGCAAGCTTATTTGAGGCGTTGCTCTTCTGCTTCGGGTTTAGTTGTAAGGGCATTGTTGGTTTAGGGTCTTTTTTTGCCACCTGGAACAGGGTTTTTTGCCACCCGCCTGTAACAGGGTTTAGGGCTTAGGGCTCAGGGTCGGCTCGGGACTGGCGTCCTTGAGACCCTGGCGCAGAAGCAAAAACAAGATCTGAACCCCCTAAACCCTAAACCCTAAACCCTAAACCCTAAACCCTAAACCCTAAACCCTAAACCCTAAACCTATTTGTCATTCCCCCGCCCTCATATGCATCCGAGCGTCCTCGTCGGCCACCGCCTCTGAGTTGAGATCGTCAGAAACCAGCTTCAGGATGTAAGCAGTGCCTCATCTGCGGCTTTTTTTGATTTATTTTTATTATTATTATTATTATATATTCCTTTGGGGGGGGGAATTGACACCGTTTGCGTTCGCAGAGCTTTAGGCCTGAACATGAGTAACCCACAAGCCCTTGGCCCTAAACCCTGAACCCTAAACCCCAACGAGAACTTTGGGGTTCGCATGTCATCTGCTTGCTTCGCACATCGACGAAGCCCCTACGCATCCGATCTCCATCCCAGGCAAAAGAAGCTCTGCACCCAAGGGGGCAGCCAAGCGCCGCTGTTCCGCGCCGAGCTGCTTTTCATGTTGGGTTTCGGGTCCTTAGTTCCTGAGTTCATAAGCCCAAAAAATGTATACAACTTTCAGTACTATAGGGGATTAGATTCTCCCAAAAAGTGGATAAAGTGTACTCCTTCAGCTACTAAGGGTCATTGGTGATGAAGGCAGCCCAGATAACTCGCACCTGGCCCCCTGCGCCGACGACCAAGACGAACCTGAGATGCGCAACGGGGCGTCTTTGTGTAACACTTCCGGAGGTCTCTGTTCAAGCCTGCCCCAACCTTCCTTACTTAGGGGCCGAATACCCTACAGCCCAAACAAAGGTTAACCTGTTTAAATTTTGTAGGACTATATGCATAACCAAAAAGGTTAAACATCTCCTACCCAGCCCCCTAAACTTATAGTCTAGGGTACCCACCCCCTCGACCCACCCACGGCAGCAGGAGGAGGTCTTTGATGCAATTGAGGTTACACACATGGTTTTGCCCCATTTGTAGTAGCTGCCTCACATGTTCGACGAGAGGAGTGACGGTTTCGAAGACCCTAGACCCTAAACCCTAAACCCCAAACCCTAAACGCTAAACCATAGGAGCTTGGGGATGTCCGTGTCCCCCAAAGCCTGACAGGGCCTTGCGGGGGTTCATGGGTACTTATAACCCCAATCCTAAGCGTACTGATAAGCCCCCCGAAGTCCTCTAGGTAGGTTGTGAGCAGACCTCGAAGTGAGGTGACTACCCATGAACCTCCGAGACCTGCTAGCCAGGAGGCTTGCTTTGCGGGAAGAAAGCTGGCACCTTCCGCTCGCAAGTGACATGTTTCTCAGGCTGTGGGGCGCTTATTTGGGGCTGAGAGTCCAGGGCTTAGTAGGGTACTTGTTCAACCCGAAACCCTAAACCCTAAACCCTAAACCCTAAACCCTAAACCCGAGACTCCCAAGCCTGCCTCTTGAAGGACCAAGGATACCCCTCACAGTCGGCTCATAGAAGCATCTGGCCCTAGTTGACACTCTTACTAGACATTGGATTGTGAACTTCTATTGCATTATTAATTTTTTATTACTTAAACTGTACACTTATATCATGATACTGCTATATGGATAATCTTTCCTGACTGTGCTACATTGCCATATTGGCATACTGAGGAAAAAAATAGTAGCCTCCTGACACACCTCGAGCCATGCGCCTGATTGTCCATGACAAACTTGAAGCCCTCCGTGACCGACACCATGCCCATCACGCGCTCGCAAAGCCCTGGGTGGGTTAGGGTTATAACCCTAAACCCTAAACCCTGAATCCTAAAACACCCGAAGCCCTAAACCCTAAACCCTAAACCCTAAACCCTAAACCCTAAACTTGGGGGCCCTCAGGGAACCTCAGGGGCCACAGAGCCTTCGAAGCCTGGGCGAGATGTTACAGGCCCAAGCCGAGTTGAGGCCCCTGAATGGCTGCTGGTTTAGGGTTTAGGGTTTAGGGTTTAGGGTTTAGGGTTTAGGGTTTAGGGTTGGGATGATCCCCTTTATACTAACCGGGGTTAGGGTCTAGGGTTTAGGGTCGAGAGTTTAGGGGTACCCCCCATTCGAATCCCTATGAAGGACTGTTAGTATAAGGGGGAACATCCCAAATTTCTGGCGACATCCCCTCACAATCCCTTGTATACCTCGAATATGACATTACCCAGGACAAAACCCATCCTCATCGAAAGACTCCTACATATGGTCAGTGCGCAAAACTACGGTCTTTTAGCGGTCCCTTTTGGGGTACCCTACAGACTACAGGCCGCCTCAAAATAGCAACCTCAAAAATAACCACAATGGAGAGAACTGACCCCCAATCAAAGAGTAACAATCCCTCTTTTGCCCTTTGTAAGGAAGAACATTCCTTTGTTTTGGGTTGTTCTTAAGCAAGCAGTCTTAGTAGCCCAGTAACCATATTAAATTCGAGACCGGGACGCTGTGGGAGTGCACTTTTTCCCATTTATTGAAAGACATTTTAAAAACACTCTCGCAACGTACCC